CTGTCAATGAATCAGAAGAAAAAGAAAACAAATAAAGAATATAGCCAAATTCCATCAAATTGTTTTCTGTATTTTTTAGGGCAAAATTTCGAAGGGCACTTTGAAATCTAGACTGTATTTCCCAATCTGGCAAATACGGTCTGAATCCGCCCCTGTAACCGCACCGAAGCCAGAACGAACGCTGGGTCCAGAGGAGAGAGCGCAGTAGCACTGAGGCGCTCGTGAGGGAGTGGAGACCGCGTGGCGACGATACGACGTACAAGGTAGGAGTATCTATCTTGTATTTCTCGTTGTCACTATCCGCCGTGTTGCACTGCACCATACGTAGGGTAAACTGTTAGTTGGTGAGAACTCCCCCTCGTCGAAGAGATTCGGTTCTTTGGTTTGCACCGCTTGATACCGCTGCCGCAGCACGGGCTGATTGGTCGCCGTCAGTCGCTCGGGCTACTGTTAGCCCTGCACTACGCGCCATGCGTGATCCTACGTGGGCTGACTGTACACTTTGACTGTAGACTATCTGCCTACTTTGGCAGAGCTCTTTCTTACAATGACTTTTAGGTAGCTACTCCGAAGGCTTTGCCATGTATGATCCGGTACCACCTGGTGAAAAAAAATAATTACAGATTGTTTGCTCATAAACATAAAGACTGTAATTATACCGTTCGATTTATTGGTTTTATTTGAATGTAAGATGCGTGCCAGGACACGATTTACTGAAACAGTAAATAAACACAAGATAAGTACAGTACACAAACTTACATACTCGTCAATACATGATACACTTAATCTGTACCAGAGAGCACTTGAAAACAACTACTAATAAAGATTTATAACCATACCATACTCACACAACATGCTAGTCAATGTTCAAGACATACGATGTTTGCATATATACCTCTTCACACTGGACATAGCTTACTGAAGGAAGGGGAATAACTCTAACAGGAATAACACACGACCGGTGACTAACTGCATAGAGGGGGGGGGGATTGAACATACATGTGTATATACTAGTAACTCAATATTTGGGCCATAAANGTAGGCCTATCAAATCTTCTGTTGGCCTGTTGGCCTGTGGATGTATTACCCACAGCGGTAACAGATGACTCAGAGTCACGAGGATTCACGTGCAGCATGGTAGGATGACACCTCTGGCACTGAGAACAAGTTAATTTCTGCCGGCACAAATCCCTACGATGGCCCCCTCTCAGACAAGCAAAGCACAAGCCCTTAGACTTCAGAAATGCATACCTCTCTTTTAGAGGCTTCCCTGTTACAGGTCTGCAACAGTCCAGTGAATGTGTGGAGCCACCACAGAACAAGCAGGGTTTAGCAAATGCAATACTACCGTTTGGCGGTGCAGAATTTCCCATCGCACTATTCTGTCTTTCGTCAACATTAGGTTCATGTGTGTCAGTCGGCGACGTACCTGCCCCGGTGACAAACGGCCCCCGTAAGGGTGTTTGTGGTTGATGACAATGCCCCGTATCAGTAGGCCGACATCACTGTCAATTTCTTCCATAGGAATATCACGCAAGTAAGGCCACTGTTGAAGGTCACCGACAGAAACTATATCTCTCCTCGACACCGGCAGGGTACGTTGTGTGAAGACTGGTGGTAGTTCAATCGCGCAGCCACCATTCAAAGGACAGATTTCTAAACCAGAGATGACATGACTGTCCTGTGTCCTCTGCTGTCCCATTGTTAGCAGGTTGATCTTCGTTCTCTTACCCGACAGATTTAATTTTTTCGTGATGTCCTCAGTACAAAACGTGGCTGTGCTGCCGGAATCAAGGAAAGCATATGTTTCGATATACTTGTCACCACTCACGTGTTTTACTCTGATAGGCACGATAGCCACCGCCTGGCGAATGTCTCTGTGATGTGGTAAATACCACACTTTCCCATTATTCAAGTGTAATTGTTGTGTGGGAACCTTCCGGGCATAGCCTTCGCCAATCACCTTGTTCATGAACTTGTTGTATTCCCCACAAAAGTTTTCATCTTGATCTAGTCTCTTCTTGAGTGAGGTCAATCTTTGTTCCGCCTGACGTCTGTTGTTAGGCATACTAATGGAAGTCGACTTGAAGGGTAGCCCGATAACATAGTGACCGTTGCTGAAACTCACCGATGCCTCGACCTCATCTAGAAATTGTCGATCATCCTTGGAGAACTCAGGAATGTCGTCTATAGTTCGTTCACTAAAATCGTGATTAAAGTGATCTTGCACCTGTTCTTCCAAGCTTGGAGCGACGACAACTTGTGCGCGATTGACAGACACGGACAGGTTTACCGTCTGGTCAGTATGAGCGACACCAAGTGGACCATTGATCACCCATCCTAGCTGGGTTTTCACTGCAAATGGGCCATCATCTTCACTGGGAATTACATCCCATGGTTCCATAGCCTTAGGGACGTTAAGGCGTGTTTCACCCTCAGAAGGGAAAACTTCGAGTGGTGTTCGACTGTGCGGCAAAGTACCAGGGGGTTGCCTTGAATGAAAATCTATTACAAGGGCCTAACCTCACAAATACATTAGTCGGCACTCTACTAAGGTTCAGAGAAGAAAAGATCGCAATCATGGGAGACATCGACAGCATGTTCTACCAGGTGCAAGTTCCATCCCAAGACGCTAGTTTTCTTCGGTTTCTCTGGTGGGAGGGTGGCGAAACAGACAAATGTCCTACTGAATATCAAATGATGGTGCATCTGTTCGGGGCAAATTCCTCACCCAGTTGTGCGAACTTCGCACTCAGAAAGACAGCACAAGACTGCACTGGCCATTTCAACGATGACGTCATTGAAACTGTGCTCCGGAATTAACCTTCGTGTTGACATACCGCCACTGAATGGGCTCCGACCCCTCGTGGATCACGGCAATCCTGTTGGCAACAAAGGTGTGGAATCTTGCGGTGCGATTCTGTATGTAACGCAACACGGTCATGCTGTCCGTCCAAAACATAGATGGACCAACAGTCACGTCTAGTTCGTCCTTCAACATTTTGTCCATCCGAACTGCTACTGTGGCCGCAGTCAGCTCTAATCGCGGTATAGTGATTTGTTTCAGTGGCGATACTCGTGATTTACCCAAAAGGAAGGAGCAATGAACTTTCCCTTCAGAGTTTTCCAGTCGCAAGTAGGTTGCTACACCATAGCCGACTTCACTGGCATCAGAAAAGTGATGTAACCGAGCAGATGTCACTGATCCAAATTCTGCTGGTTTCATGCATCTGTCCACAGTGAACGACGAGAGCTTCTCAAGATCCTGTAACCATAGGCGCCATCGGGCTGAGTACACCTCAGGAATTTGCTCATCCCATCCCAGCTGAAGTTTGCACAACTCCTGAAGTATGCGTTTGGCAGGCAACATGAATGGACCCAGGAAACCAAGGGGGTCAAACACACTGCTAACCATCGACAAAATTCCCCTTCTTGTCGGTGGCTGATTTTTCACAGCAATCTTGAAACGAAAAGCATCTGTCTCAACACACCACTGGACGCCAAGTGCACGGTCAATCGGTAAGATGTCTTGGTTGAGGTCAAGGTCCTTGACCTCCTTAGCTCTTTCCGAAGCAGGAATAGAGTTCATCACCTCTCTGCTGTTGCTGATCCACTTTGATATGTGGAAACCTCCATGACTCAAGACGGCTTGCAAATCCTTCACTAAGGATATGGCATGTTTTGTGGAATTCAGAGATTTCAGGCAATCGTCGACGTAAAAGACTGTTCCTGAGCAACGCGGTGGAGTTGATACCTCTGGAGGCCTGATCTGCCGGGGTACCAGGAAGAATGATAGTTGATGAGCTTGTCCACGGCTGTGGTGACACTGCTGTCTGCAACTACTTCTCCCACCTTTACTGTGTTGACCGTCACGCTCTTAACTTCTGGGTCGCCAGATAGAACGTCGTCCGTACTTCCTGGTATATCCTCCCGGCCAGTCATCTTCTGCTGTCCACAAGAATTGCGGTCCACTTATCCACTCAGGCTACACTTCGTTTAAGTGTGGATCATTAAGATTCGAACACATCTGCTCGAAAGACACCAAAATGATGAACAGCGTGTCAGTGGGAATACTCCCAAAGTGGTGCGTGTTACGGTTGAAGACATGCATGAGGCCGAAATGGCTATCTTGAGATATGTTCAACAACAAGCATTTGCTGGGGAAATAAGCACTCTCGAGAGAGGGCGTGGTGTGAAACTCAGCAGTCACATCAAGAAGTTGGATCCTGTCTTAGAGAATGGGATGCTGCGAGTAGGTGGACGGTTGAACAAGGCCAACATGCCCGCAGAGAGAAGAAATCCAATCATCCTGCCCAAAAACAGCCATGTTTCAGATATATTGTTGAGACAGATACACGCCGACTTGAACCACAGTGGGAGAAACCACATGTTAGCTCATTTGAGAGAGAAATACTGGTTGATAAATGCACCATCAGCTGTCAGAAGGGTGATTTCTAAGTGTGTTGGCTGCCGCCGACAAAGAGGACCAGTTGGTGAACAGAAGATGGCCGACTTACCCCAAGACCGTGTCGTTCCTGATGAACCTCCATTTTCAAGAGTCGGCGTGGACTACTTCGGGCCTTTTGAAGTGAAAATAATCGCACAATGTACATTATCAACACAACTCATGATCATACTTCAACCAAAAACACACAAGTAGCTGAATCTCTCTAACCAGACATGTGCTTCACAAAATCCCTACACCACACTGAGAATAAGTCAGTATTATGTCTAGACATACTCCTATATGTTACTCCATCTCTAGAATCAGACACAGTTTGTCAATCGGGCGTGTGAGAATGTTCGTCGACGTTTTGACCTTCACTTGACGCACAAACCCCTTTGGATCTGGGATTGTTTCCAGGATGACACCCATGGGCCAGGAATTTCTAGGAGCATTGGAATCCACGATCACAACTACATCACCGACCCTCAGATTTCTTTTCATGCTGCACCATTTCTGACGTTCCTGAAGTAGCGGTAGATATTCCCGCAACCATCGTCTCCAAAACAAATCAGCCATGTACTGCACCTGCCTCCATCGACGCCGGCAGTAATTATCCGTCTTACTGAAGACTCCGGGAGGCAAGATCGGGTTACGCTTCATCAACAGCAAGTGATTGGGTGAAAGAGCCTCGAGGTCGTCATGTTGTTCCGAGTTCCTTGTAATGGGTCGGCCATTGAGTGTAGACTCGATTTCACACAGCAGAGTTTGAAGTCCCTCGTCGTCGAGGATTTGTTCCCTGAGAACACTGTTCATGAGCTGTCTAACCGACCTAATCATTCTTTCCCATACACCACCATGATGTGACCCAGCAGGTGGGTTAAACTGCCAATCGATGTTCCTTTGAAGCATGGAGCCATGAATCTGAGACACGTTCCAATCGGTAATAGCCCTAGCAAGTTCACGTTCCGCCCCAACAAAGTTAGTACCGTTGTCTGACCGCATTCTGGTAACTTGCCCTCGCCGAGCAATGAACCGGCGCAGGGCATTAATGTACGAATCAGTGTCCAAGGATGTCGCAACTTCTAAATGCACGGCACGGCTCGACAGGCATGTGAAGATCACGCCCCATCGTTTGACACGAGAACGCTTTTGTAATGAGTGAACTATTTGTCCAACTGTCACTGAAAAGTATATGTATGTGACAATCTTCATGTGTAGTCTAGCTTTGCGATATCGAACTGTAACGTAGTGTGTAATTGTGTCGCGACTCGCTTACAATTAGGGGACCGGGATGTTGGGGCCGTTTCGTAACTTCGAGTTTCCCGGACAAAGCTGTGTGACGTCATCAGTTGGCCCGACGGACATCCTGTGCGAGGCGGCAGAAAAACGTGTTTACTAGTGACAATCAGTTGTGAAGTAGGTGATATATTTTCTAGCTATACTAGAAATTCTGCACCGCCAAACGGTAGTATTGCATTTGCTAAACCCTGCTTGTTCTGTGGTGGCTCCACACATTCACTGGACTGTTGCAGACCTGTAACAGGGAAGCCTCTAAAAGAGAGGTATGCATTTCTGAAGTCTAAGGGCTTGTGCTTTGCTTGTCTGAGAGGGGGCCATCGTAGGGATTTGTGCCGGCAGAAATTAACTTGTTCTCAGTGCCAGAGGTGTCATCCTACCATGCTGCACGTGAATCCTCGTGACTCTGAGTCATCTGTTACCGCTGTGGGTAATACATCCACAGCATTGTCATCAACCACAAACACCCTTACGGGGGCCGGAGACATTCGCCAGGCGGTGGCTATCGTGCCTGTCAGAGTAAAACACGTGAGTGGTGACAAGTATATCGAAACATATGCTTTCCTTGATTCCGGCAGCACAGCCACGTTTTGTACTGAGGACATCACGAAAAAATTAAATCTGTCGGGTAAGAGAACGAAGATCAACCTGCTAACAATGGGACAGCAGAGGACACAGGACAGTCATGTCATCTCTGGTTTAGAAATCTGTCTTTGAATGGTGGCTGCGCGATTGAACTACCACCAGTCTTTACACAACGTACCCTGCCGGTGTCGAGGAGAGATATAGTTTCTGTCGGTGACCTTCAACAGTGGCCTCACTTGCGTGAAATTCCTATGGAAGAAATTGACAGTGATGTCGGCCTACTGATAGGGGTTAACGTCCCTAAGGCTATGGAACCATGGGATGTAATTCCCAGTGAAGATGATGGCCCATTTGCAGTGAAAACCCAGCTAGGATGGGTGATCAATGGTCCACTTGGTGTCGCTCATACTGACCAGACGGTAAACCTGTCCGTGTCTGTCAATCGCGCACAAGTTGTCGTCGCTCCAAGCTTGGAAGAACAGGTGCAAGATCACTTTAATCACGATTTTAGTGAACGAACTATAGACGACATTCCTGAGTTCTCCAAGGATGATCGACAATTTCTAGATGAGGTCGAGGCATCGGTGAGTTTCAGCAACGGTCACTATGTTATCGGGCTACCCTTCAAGTCGACTTCCATTAGTATGCCTAACAACAGACGTCAGGCGGAACAAAGATTGACCTCACTCAAGAAGAGACTAGATCAAGATGAAAACTTTTGTGGGGAATACAACAAGTTCATGAACAAGGTGATTGGCGAAGGCTATGCCCGGAAGGTTCCCACACAACAATTACACTTGAATAATGGGAAAGTGTGGTATTTACCACATCACGGCGTGTTTCACCCTCAGAAGGGAAAACTTCGAGTGGTGTTCGACTGTGCGGCAAAGTACCAGGGGGTTGCCTTGAATGAAAATCTAACAAGGGCCTAACCTCACAAATACATTAGTCGGCACTCTACTAAGGTTCAGAGAAGAAAAGATCGCAATCATGGGAGACATCGACAGCATGTTCTACCAGGTGCAAGTTCCATCCCAAGACGCTAGTTTTCTTCGGTTTCTCTGGTGGGAGGGTGGCGAAACAGACAAATGTCCTACTGAATATCAAATGATGGTGCATCTGTTCGGGGCAAATTCCTCACCCAGTTGTGCGAACTTCGCACTCAGAAAGACAGCACAAGACTGCACTGGCCTTTTCAACGATGACGTCATTGAAACTGTGCTCCGGAACTTTTACGTCGACGATTGCCTGAAATCTCTGAATTCCACAAAACATGCCATATCCTTTAGTGAAGATTTGCAAGCCGTCTTGAGTCATGGAGTTTCCACATATCAAAGTGGATCAGCAACAGCAGAGAGGTGATGAACTCTATTCCTGCTTCGGAAAGAGCTAAGGAGGTCAAGGACCTTGACCTCAACCAAGACATCTTACCGATTGACGCGTGCACTTGGCGTCCAGTGGTGTGTTGAGACAGATGCTTTTCGTTTCAAGATTGCTGTGAAAAATCAGCCACCGACAAGAAGGGGAATTTTGTCGATGGTTAGCAGTGTGTTTGACCCCCTTGGTTTCCTGGGTCCATTCATGTTGCCTGCCAAACGCATACTTCAGGAGTTGTGCAAACTTCAGCTGGGATGGGATGAGCAAATTCCTGAGGTGTACTCAGCCCGATGGCGCCTATGGTTACAGGATCTTGAGAAGCTCTCGTCGTTCACTGTGGACAGATGCATGAAACCAGCAGAATTTGGATCAGTGACATCTGCTCGGTTACATCATTTTTCTGATGCCAGTGAAGTCGGCTATGGTGTAGCAACCTACTTGCGACTGGAAAACTCTGAAGGGAAAGTTCATTGCTCCTTCCTTTTGGGTAAATCACGAGTATCGCCACTGAAACAAATCACTATACCGCGATTAGAGCTGACTGCGGCCACAGTAGCAGTTCGGATGGACAAAATGTTGAAGGACGAACTAGACGTGACTGTTGGTCCATCTATGTTTTGGACGGACAGCATGACCGTGTTGCGTTACATACAGAATCGCACCGCAAGATTCCACACCTTTGTTGCCAACAGGATTGCCGTGATCCACGAGGGGTCGGAGCCCATTCAGTGGCGGTATGTCAACACGAAGGTTAACCCGGCAGATCAGGCCTCCAGAGGTATCAACTCCACCGCGTTGCTCAGGAACAGTGAGTGGATAAGTGGACCGCAATTCTTGTGGACAGCAGAAGATGACTGGCCGGGAGATATACCAGGAAGTACGGACGACGTTCTATCTGGCGACCCAGAAGTTAAGAGCGTGACGGTCAACACAGTAAAGGTGGGAGAAGTAGTTGCAGACAGCAGTGTCACCACAGCCGTGGACAAGCTCATCAACTATCATTCTTCCTGGTACACACTTAAACGAAGTGTAGCCTGGATCATTAAGATTCGAACACATCTGCTCGAAAGACACCAAAATGATGAACAGCGTGTCAGTGGGAATACTCCCAAAGTGGTGCGTGTTACGGTTGAAGACATGCATGAGGCCGAAATGGCTATCTTGAGATATGTTCAACAACAAGCATTTGCTGGGGAAATAAGCACCTCGAGAGAGGGCGTGGTGTGAAACTCAGCAGTCACATCAAGAAGTTGGATCCTGTCTTAGAGAATGGGATGCTGCAGTAGGTGGACGGTTGAACAAGGCCAACATGCCCGCAGAGAGAAGAAATCCATCATCCTGCCCAAAAACAGCCATGTTTCAGATATATTGTTGAGACAGAACACGCCGACTTGAACCACAGTGGGAGAAACCACATGTTAGCTCATTGAGAGAGAAATACTGGTTGATAAATGCACCATCAGCTGTCAGAAGGGTGATTTCTAAGTGTGTTGGCTCCGCCGACAAAGAGGACCAGTTGGTGAACAGAAGATGGCCGACTTACCCCAAGACCGTGTCGTTCCTGATGAACCTCCATTTTCAAGAGTCGGCGTGGACTACTTCGGGCCTTTTGAAGTGAAACAAAAGCGTTCTCGTGTCAAACGATGGGGCGTGATCTTCACATGCCTGTCGAGCCGTGCCGTGCATTTAGAAGTTGCGACATCCTTGGACACTGATTCGTACATTAATGCCCTGCGCCGGTTCATTGCTCGGCGAGGGCAAGTTACCAGAATGCGGCTCAACAAATTGG